AAAGAAAGAAAGAAAGAAAGAAAGAAAGAAAGAAAGAAAGAAAGAAAGAAAGAAAGAAAGAAAGAAAGAAAGAAAGAAAGAAAGAAAAAGGAGCGGCTGCCAACTGAGAACGAGGGCTTAACGGATGTGACTATATTTCAGGCCTTCAATCAACTTTAATGCTCAACAACAATTAATACTTTTCATACTTTTCATAATTCAAAATGAAAGAATATTGCCTCGTAGTCCTTGTGGTACTTATTAAAACAGATACTTTGAACTAAGTTGTCTTAATATCGGTCAAGATTTTAATTCCATATACATATCCCGGAAAATGATTGGACATTTTTTTGTTGAACGAATTGGGCTTCCTATGCAACGAAAGGACCGAGTACGGGAATTAGGCACTAACGTGAACTGGAGAAAGTACACAGGTAGCCCAAATAATGTTCTGAGTATACTTACGAAGAAATGTAAGGAAGTTAGGATAACGATACAAGATAAAACGTTTCACTTAGYATTTTGTAAACCATGATGCAGTCGTTGTTGTATTTCTACCTTGTCTAATCCCCCAATAAAGTTTCGGCGGATTCGAGGACCTGTGACTAGTGGGCACTGTTTTTAAAGAAGACTGCTCTACCCTACAAAAAGCTTTGTGAAGAGATAACTAGCTAAAAACTAGTGTGAGCTTTGTGGAGAAGCACCAAATTTTTTTGCCTTATGATATTTTTGCAACACTTTACTTTCTCACGATTTGAAAATACTGTACTTTGATGTTTTTTCAAAATCGTTCCACGGTATCCCTGTGGTAAGACCCTGTCGTTTCATTGGGTCCACCCCGCAAATAGGCTTCCTCTTTCACTGATCACACATGGCGCCGAAGGGTAAGTCAGGATCAAGACTCATCTGAAATACTAAATTATACAGTGAATTTTTCCCTCTATTTGGTTAATAAACGCACCGATCCCAGCTTGAAACATCTATCTACATTATTATCAATTTAAATGCTGTATTTTTGGCTTGTAAAGTGATGTAATTTTTGGAATAAAGAGAAGCATTTCGGTAGCCATGTTCTACACGTGAGCTATATACTGGGCTATAAGAATCTTGTTAAGACTGCTTAACTTATTTACTTTCTATTGCTTTATAAATAAATCCCTAGAATACTAGGAGATGGAGTTTAATTTGTGACTGTCATCAAAGCATACGATTTATTAAGGCRTATGTTGCTGTTGTTTTTAATTATTTCTTTGCTATTGAATTCCAAGAACTAGAAAAGAAACCAAAATGATTTTTTTTGCACTTCATCTTGTGGACCATTAATGAAATAAAATACATTTAAGGCTTCTTGATCTCTTCAAGAATTTATTCAAAAGTCTTGGATTGTGTTGTTAAATAGGATTTAATATTGTGATTTCTTTGAAAAAATATATTAGTATAATAATAATGGTATTTGATATTAGATATCTTATTAGTACTATATTAATTGTTATCATCCAGCAAAGAGCTACTGCACAAATGGCTTTAATATGAAAACTATCACTTTCACTTATTCTTATGATGCAACATAAATTGCGCTGTTAGTGGGAGGAGCCAAGAAGTCATCATGGATGATCATAAACTTCTTTAATAATCATTGACTCTTAAAACTTCTATTCTTATATTGTCTTTCTTCAGGAAAGTCTAAAGAGACCAAGGCTAGTGCCAAGAGCACTGAAACCTCCAAGGCTCAGAAAGCCAAGAAGGCTGTCCTTAAAGGTGTTCAGAAGACATCTCTCAAGAAGATCAAGACAACTGTCAAATTTCATCGACCCAAAACTCTTAGGCTTCAAAGGAACCCCAAGTATCCTAGAATCTCTGCTCCCAGACCAAACAAGCTTGATCACTATGCTATCATCAAGCATCCTTTGACAACTGAGTCTGCGATGAAGAAGATTGAAGACAATAATACTCTGGTTTTTATTGTGGATGTTAAAGCCAACAAAGCTCAGATCAAAGCAGCTGTTAAGAAGCTGTACGATATTGATGTCTCCAAGGTCAACACTCTTATCAGGTATTACACTGTGAGGATTAGATTATAACACACATATTATTTACTTCTTTCAATTAGTCACCAAAAATGCATACGCTGAGACTGCTGAGGATCATGGGAAATGTTCATGTCAAACATGTAAACCTCTTGATAGAAACTGCAATTTGAAGTTACTAACAGGAAGTCTCGAGTCCATCAATAGTGATCAAGTGTGGGTTGAAACACGTAACCTCTATCTACCCATAATCCTTGCCAATCTCAGCTTTGTAGCTATTCAGGTGGCTAGTTATACAATGGTTTTAAGTGGCATACCATGGAATATCCCACAAGACACTATTTCCTAGTATACACATGAATCTTCAGATGAGTAAGTATACAATAAAATACAAGTTATAGGGATATTCTGGTGTGCCACAAGAAAGCATCGTGTAACTTTTTTACCTACACCATTCAAAATACTCCCAAGATACAATGCATGATGCAAAGAAATGAAGGAATACTACCAAATGTAGAATAGCTTACTTGCATCTGATTGGCTGTATTTTCAATGGGTTTGCAGATAACAACTTAAGAGTGGTTTTTGTCTGAATGGGAAACACAATACTGACTTCAGCACATAGTATTGTGGGTTCAAGAGAATGGGACTACATAGTATTTTATTCCTTGATCATTATTGCCCCTGACTTTTGAATTCCTCAAATAATTTATAGTTGGATTCAAGTAAAACATTTTGACCTCTTGTCATTCATTTAGTGTTTACCATTTTCTTTGTAGACCTGATGGTCAGAAGAAAGCTTATGTTAGGCTTGCTCCAGATTATGATGCTTTAGATGTATCAAACAAGGTAGGATTACAAACCTTAGTTGGATGAAATTTTAGATTTTGTATGAATCAAGGATTAGAAAGATGGCTGGTCACTGAACAATGTCAAAATATTGGCAGACRGAGCTTTCAGAATTCTTTGGAGTAGGTGGTCAAGTCTGAATTAAATGGCTTTGATCTAATCCAAGGAACAGAAAGTATTTTTTAGAAAAGGAAAAGTATGTAGTTGTCGGTTACCTTCGATTCTAAAAGCCCTGGGCACTTGTCTGCAAAATGCCTCTTAGGCACACAGCAAACAAATAAGTTAGCTGTGTCCAGGTAACAATGCATTCTAACTCCAGGGCTTAATAACTGACCAAATTAGTTTTAGCTTGGTCAAAATGAAAATCAAAGCAAAGGATTGACAAGACAAATGCAATTCTGGCTGGACATTGTCCCAGCCAATATTTGAAGCCCTGCAACACTAAAGTAATTAGAATAAGCTTGAAATAGAAAAGAATTATGGCAAAGCATAATTATGATTTATAATTCTGTTGATAATAACTTTATTCTAATATTTGTCTTGTTTTCAGATTGGTATCATCTAAACAGATAGTCTATGGGTGGTTGAAGCAGAGAAAATAAAATTTCTAATTATGATCAACTTGTCTCAGTGTTATTTTTCTTATAGTATAGTAATAGAACATCCATTTTATCAATTATTATTTTGGGAAGCACGGGTGGTGTGCGCTGCTAATGCACTGCCTCTCACCAATGCGACCCGAGTTCGAGCCCCGCCGTGCTCGGTTTCGTATGTGAGTAGAGTTGTTTGTTGGTTCTCTCYTGTGCTTCAAGGGTTTTTCTCCAGGTTCTCCGGTTTTCCTCCCTCCGCAAAAATCAACTTCTAAAATTCCAATTCGATCTTGGGCTTTCACCTAGCGTGGATCTGAGGGTTCCGTTCGTGATTGTCCCACTCTGTGATTACAGACAAAACTGGTAAATAATATTGACACCAAAGGACCAGAAAAAAAATTTTCAATGTGTCCCTAATATAGAGGTTGGGTCTGTGAAATAAAAAATTTATGTTGATTTTTACAGGACCCGCTGGAGGAGAGTGATTGTATGGCTGATACAGCACGGATGTAAATGTTGTGATAACTTGTGAAATTCAGGATGAATTCATAAATCCTTTGGGGCTTTATGAATTAAAATGCTAATCAGATACAACAACTAGTGCTGTATAGGAACAGTATACATCCACTAGTGGTAAAGTTTGTATTGGGAATACATGATATTCATGTTACCCAAGGGTGGATCCAGGGGGAGGGTCGGGGGGGTTGCAACCCCCCTGTCATTCCTGAGGTCAAATGGGCTTCCTGTGGTAAAAATGCGACTGGGATTCCTTTGCCCACAAAATTTAGCCCTGAGACCCCCCCTTCAAAAAACCCTGGATCCGCCCTTGCTACCTGATTTCTTGTTTCTGAAATTTTTACAAGACAGTGTCATTGATATAGATATAGAGGCTGGGTCAATGGAACAAGGAATTTATTTAAGGAGGCTCGAAACGGTTTTTCTTGAGTGAGTGCGTGCTCTAGGTCCGATGACGTAGAACTTGCAAAAGGAAAATTTTTGTACTCATAAATTTTAATGTTCAAACTGAAAAAAATCAAAAATTCTTTGGTGAAATTTCTTCAAATTTTGCATAGGGCTTTAGTTTATGTTTTCAAAAACTTAAGAAAAATTTCAGAAAATTCTGTAAGAAGGAACTATTCCAAACAAATTTGATTGATTTTTGCAAATTCCCTCTTACAGAATTTTTTCTTTTTTTGTCAAAAAGAAGATTACAATACAAAGTTTAAATATTCCAGTTTTTAAAAAAAATTCAACATTTTGTTCCTGAGTTATCATTTTTTAAATAAACATTTTTGATGGCATCATGAAGGGTTCTGATGTTGTCATAGCAACATCTTAATTCATTTTTTCATGTATATTGTGATCTTTGGTTCAAGGTCTTTGGCTTTCCAGGTTTACTTGCTGTCATATTATAGCCATAATAATTTTTTTTAGTTCATAATGTGAAGGCACAAAGCATTTTCCAGCCTCCTTAAGTAATTCAAAGTAATTTTGAAGGGACCTAAATATTTGTCTGTAGTATAGAGGTATCCATGATATAGAGGCTCCACTGTAGTTTTCAGAAAGTACGTAGGGGGTTAAAGAAGTGATCAAAATTATGCAATGGCAGGATTCCAATCTTCTAAAAAAAGCCTTCTATTTTTGAACTTAGTAAGTTATCTATCTTAAAGCTTTAAAAACCTTGGAGGTAAGTTGTTTGCAACACTGTCCGTGGATCAGGTCACCTTATGATGTATTTTTGGACTCAAGCAATAAATTATAGTCTGTTTCCATAGCAGTCTTGGACAGTCCAGACACAACGGAGGCTAGTAAAACTATGAAATTTGAACCAACAAAGATATGAGCTTTTAAAAATATAAATTTAGTATAAAAATGAAAATCTTACAAAAATCTAGGAATATTATTTTATTATAAAATTTAGGACCTCCCTGAAAATCATTTTTATGAGTGGAGTATCCTCATTAAATATTATTATTATTATTAYTATTATTAAATCACAATATGTATAGTGTGATTCATGGATTTTGTTTTGTAGATGTTCCAGAGGTTTGCAGATATAGAGGATATCACATGGGCRCACGGAGATACGAATTTTATCTTCAAGTGTTCAATTGATATCTCACGAGTGAGCTCAGCGAATGAGTGCGATATCTAAATTGAACATGAGAAGATAAAATTCATATCTTTAAGTGGCCATGTAATGTTCTGTTTATTATATAGATATCGATGAAACTTAAATAAAATAAAAGCTCAAAAATTCTTTATTTATAAAATATGTTACTATGTCAACAGCAATATCTTCATGTGTGAAATATATGTTATCTTCCACTGGTAAAAGATATCAAGTTTTTGACACTAGAGAAAACCTGGTATTTCATCAATATCTATATAATAATGGCTAATAATTAGTCCCCCATACCCCCAACACACACACACATTTTTTTTCAGCTATAAACTATTTTATGATCATGAATAAGTGCAGCCATATACCAACAATCAAAGCAGTGATGCATGTCTGATGACTTGGGGTAAACACAAATGCAAATGTTCTCCATCACTCTTTAAGAAGGTTAAACTAGAATACTTTCAGTAGCTTATAAATTGAACAGCAGTATYATTTTGAAACTTTAGTATACACTGCATGCCGGACTGTGTTGGTGGATTGCCATCTGAGACTATCAGTTCTCATGTTTCAAGGATGTTTTAGAAAAATGCTACAACAAATACCTGACCTTCCTTAAACAATTAGCATTCGAGTATTATATAAGAATAAATATCAAATAAATATTAGCTTACTGAAGCAACATTGCAAAGACTACTTATAAACATCAAACAAGTTATTTGAACTATCCATTTGTTTATGCACATATTTGGTGAAGATAACCAAAGTAACACAATGAAATCTTAACAACTATGTAAACAATAGAAAAACTACAAAAACAGAACAATGACAATACAATGACTTTCACTTATAAAAGCATATATACGAGTGATTATTTTTTTAGTTTTAATCTTAATAATCTAACTTTTGATAAATTGGTAGACATAGTAAAGTTTTCACAGTAGCAAGTAAATAAATAAATAAAATAAAAAATAAATGGGATTTAGCAGTGGCATTTCAGTCTACAGAGTAGCTATTCATCCACTGTAATTCTAATTGGAATTTAGGAGTTGATTTTAGCGGAGGAAGGTAAGCCGGAGAACCTAGAAACACCTCGAAGCACAGGAGAGAACCAACAAACATTTCTACTCACATACGACACCACTCAGTGGGACCCGAACCCGGGTCACATTGGTGAGAGGCGTGCAATGGTTAGAAGGCATACCATGTCTGTGAAAAACTTAACTAACAAAATAATTGTACAAATTAGTGCAAGGTGTACAGTCTACTGAGGTCTACTGAACTTCCTAATTTGTGCAAATATTTTCAATTTCTTGCAAAGTTCTTTAACAGATATATGGTATGCACTCTAATGTACACAAATTTATGTGTAGATGTTTATATGTCTATACCCTGGGCTCTATCATGGGCTCTATTTTGCTTCGGGTATGTAGGTTAACAATGCAGAGTTCTATTATAGCTGACTCTAGAATAGAACTCTGCATTGGTAATACCAATTTGACTTAATGATAATCCACTTTTTATCATCTTTTGTATTTACTCAACAATGCCGCCATAAAAAGAGCAATTTTTAGCAAAATTACGAATGTACCCTGGGAAATACTACTTCAGTTCACCACTTTAATCAAAGATTTCATTATTTTACACTCCAATAAATTTTATTTATTCTCAAGCCACGTGGAATATCTGTGACTGTGTATAATAAGGTGTAAAAGATCAATTATCTACAGGTTATTTTTGAATTTAAATGAACAATCAGATGCTAGAAATTACAGGAATAGAACTTAAGTTTTCAATCTTTTAGTGACAAGTCTTAGTTATTTCCTATTGAAGTAAACCTACAAATATTTAAACTTGTCTAGCTAATTCTTTCAATACTTACCAAAACAACAAGTTGATCTTCGAAATTAGAATGAACAATAGCATAACGCAAGAATGGGTGTACGTTAGAAGTTCAACTCAAAAGTTTTACTTTACTTTAAAAACAATTGTTGGTAATTATTACTTTAGATAGTCATCACTAGTAGGCGTTCTCTCATATCCCATCTTCTACCACGTTTAACATTTCATTTAACTCGTTGTCAACACTGGCTTTCTTCTCTCTGAAATTTTCAATTCCCGTTGATACTTCGTCCAAGACCCTCTCCAACTTTTTTGCCTCTCTTTCTGCGGCTTCGTAACGCTCTTGGAAACCTTTTAGTTCGGCTTCGAGGAAGGCAATTTTTTCTTCTTGCACTCCTTCCCTCTCACTCGCCTCTTCGTCTCTTCTCTCTAACTTGCTCATATTTTCTCCTGCCTTTTCCAATTCTTGATCGATATCGCTAATCCTAGCTTCTGCTTTCTCCGCTCTATCAACTGCCCTGCTAAGATCGAATTCTATCTTGGTAAACTTGCGAGAAATGTCGTTGAGATCTCGGAGTTTCTCGTCCAATCTTGTCAAGGAATCCTTGGCTTTTTGCTCGATGTTGGTAAGTTGATCATCAGTATCCAGTTCAAGACCTCCAAGCTCTTTTTCTGTAGCTCGTTCTTTTTCGATCTTATCGTGCAAGTTTGTGAGATCATCCTTACTAGATTGAATCTTCTCTTGGGTTTTCTCGTGCTCTCTGGTTAACAGCACTATTCTCCTTTTGTACGACTCTGCGTCCTCTTCAGCTTTGGCGGCTCGTTCGTTTGCTAACCTAAGTTTATTATTCGCTTCGTTTTCTCTATCTTCAGCCTGTTCAACGGCATCTCTCATAGCATTAAGCTTATCCTTAACTTTACTTAGGTTTCCAGCGCTCATGATGAATGAATTTCGGGTCTAAAACGCCTTCGGAATATGACTTTCTTTTACAATCACACCCAGTTCGTCTTATACACCTTCAATGGCCTCTCCTTCTAGCATGTGTCGACCAAACATCAACCAATCAAAAGCTTTCAAATCAAAATATACGTAACGCAATCCGTCACGCATGACTTCAAAATTAACAACTTCCAAAACTGTTTTTCTTTTGTTTTGAGGTAATAAATAACTTTGGCTATTAAATTAGGGGAGCGGTACCTATCAGACAGTCATGAAGGAAGTTGGAATGCTATTTCAAGTATTTCAAGCTATAAACAAACATCTAATAGTATCAATCTATATAAGGCAACCACCCTAATGAGTGCTCAAGGCTGAATCAACTTCAAATTTTAAATCTCAATATCAGACGACTAAGATTAGTCATGCAGAAGGAATTTTCACTATAAATGGTAATTTTGATATAGTTTTTTTTCTAACAAATATTTACTTTAAATTTTATTTGCTTCCTTTTTTGAATGGTACTAATAATAAATCATTGTAGCACTTTTGCACTAATTGGAGACACTATTCACTCACACACACTACCACTACATTTTAATGTTCTATGCACACATCACTCAAATCACATGTTGATTTTTACTGATAGGGGAAACCCAAGAACCCGGAGAAAACCCTCCTAGCATAGAGAGAACAAAATGTCAAATAAACTCAGTTCACATATGGTGTCCCCAGGGCTTGAACCAGTGACCTGAGCCTTTGGAACCACAGTAGTGTAAGACAACACATTAGCAGCATACCCCACCCATGCTTCCCGAAAGTATTTATACCTTCCCTACTTAATGGAGAAGGACAGACAAAATAATTTCTATATCTTTTTCAGTAAGTTACGTAAACAAAGTACCATCTCTATCCTCTTGATCATACAGCTTGAAAAATTCTAGCCCCTCTATCTAAAGATATTTCAAACTACAGTTCCAAATTTTATTTCTTAAGAAAAAAGATAACATTGTTCAATTTTTTGTCAGATTTATAAGTTCAAAATGGTCACAAACTAGTAATGCAAGCAACCAACATGTCAAATTGCAGTAATATTTGTTGTTTACCACTGACACAGTGTCTYGTGCTCAACAAAATTAACCAAGATTTACATATTTTAATTGAAGATGTTTTGGAATTGGAATGGTAGCGGCCTTGTGATTGGTTGGCCATCTTCATATGTCAACCAATCAAATGGAGCATTATTACTTTTAAACTTTTTGTCTGTAATAAAAATGGGGTGCCTAGAGACTGGATAATCTTTCACCGACCAAGGTGTTTGTTCTTAAACGTTATTGGAGAGAACATATTTTCATGTAGAATCACCATGGAAAACCTTAGGTTGTGAGCATAGCYTTTTGTCTAAGATGGAGAATTTGCAAGAGTTGCTTTTATTTAACACATTAATTTAATCCCATATTTTCTTGAACTGATTTTCCATTAAATGACAATGCAGTCTCATAGACCTGCTTTCCAATAATTTCATTTGGTCCTCCAACAGAAAACTCACTTGATAATTCTCTAAATGTCATAGCAATTCTTCTACTTCTAATATGGTGTCTTTTTATCTCATGCTTCCATTCATAACGAGCTGGTCCAGCCATTATGATGAGTGATCGTCTTGGCATTTCAAATTCCACTACTGCTTTTAGCTGATCATGTGACATCGTCATTATGGTTTGGGATAACAGGTTTAAAGTTACGAGTCGCTCACCCCATAGCCAAAAGTCATCAAAATGAGCGTCTATCGCAGCTCCTCGCTCAGGCATATACTCCAAGTTACAAAGTTCAACAACTTTAAAGTCACTTAATGTTGGGACAGCTTGGCACATCCTTTCTATCAGGACTTTGCTAAAAGCTGGAAGTCCATTGAAGTATGTTAGTTTTAACTTCTTTTTCTTAAAATTAGCTTGAGGGCCATAATCCTGCAAGTAAATAAAAAACTCATCAACTAATTTTATATTTTACTTGTTATTATAAATACTTTGCTGATTATGACGAAAGGAATTGCCTATCAAGAAATCACCATATTCCTCCTCCAAAAAAAGGTTTGGGCTTCCTGTGGTAAAAATAGCATTGTCTGAAAAACAGACCTGCTTTCGTCGACCCGACTGTGATAGCTTCCAACATGTTTGATCAATCTCTCTTACTATTAACCTCTCCTCTTCCTCGCTAAYAAAGTCCTGGATCACAGTTATTCCACTTATCAAGTTTTTGCTTCGGTCTGTGCCGTTATGTGAACATATTTGTCCAAATTCCACGACTCCATAGCAATTCAAGCAGAGAAAATATCTCGAAATGTCGTTGRCACCACTTTCATTGCTTAAAATGTCCTTTCCCTTTCCATATAAATGATTTTGTTCGCATAAAAGACAGCTCCTTGTTCCAGTGCAGCTAMATTCATTCATTTCGGCAGCCATCTTGAATTTTTCTTGTTCGCTGATTTAAAAGAGCCAATCAGCATCTTTGTTATATTCGAAAGATCTTGCAATTTCTACTAATAATTTTGATTGGATCACAGGAGCACTTTTCAACCAATCATATCAACTGTACTTAGTACCAAATGCTCATTCCATTGAGAAGAACATTTTGCACGTGTTTATTATGTGTATCTGTTTAGCTTATTTACTTCACTCAAACTTCAACTTTTACAAACTTGCAAAAGAATTTGAAAACCTCCTCATATGAAGCACCGAAAATAGACAAATTGGAGAGATAAGAGGCACCGTCGTCTAGGCTACACGATGGAGGAAAGTACCAGCATTACTGTAGCTAAAATCCTAGACCTTGTCAAAGTGGAAAAATTGAGTGAAGTTCGTCATCTCAGGTTAGAATTAAGCACGAAATTTGAAGGAAAACTTCCTTCTTTTGTAGTGAAGAACTGTTTTACTTGCATTTGAAGGTGTTGCGGTCTAGTATTAACTAAAAAAATTGCTCTCAAGAAAGTTCTGTTTCAAATGTGACGCAAGCTGTCTAACATATGAACCAAACAAAACAGATGGCTTCATTATCAAGTTTATATTATATACATACATACTTTTAGTATATTAAAATTGTGTCCTCATTGTCTAAGGTTTTCAAAATTAATGTATTTATAGTTATAAAATATGCTGGCATTGTCTATTTAGCACATACAAATTATTTATGAACATTGATACTATATATAAGCAATGCTGCCTGCACAAAAAATGAATTAACTCATGATTAATGCACACCTTAGACTTTTATTTTTCATTTATAAGTTGGGTTATCACAGCCATGCTGGTGCTAAAGATCTCTCACTAGCTTTCTTAGTTAATTCTTCGATTGCACGTTACGTCATGGCGGCCATGTTGGTGCCATTTAACAAAATATTTCTCATTAGCATCCATTGTTAACGGCACCACAATGGTCGCCATGTCTTTGTCTTTTGAATCTCTTGGGAATGCTTGCAACCCATCAATATAGCCAACATGGCCGTCTTGACTTTGTTTCTCGACTCTCTTGATAACAGTTCCAGTTATCCATTAATTATGGACTCAGATTTGAACCTCCCTTCTATCTCCATAATCCTTGTTATGGAGAGTATATAGATGTATCTCTAACCTTCTACCCCTTATATTTAGGCATTATCTTCCATGATGTCCTAACCACAGGAAGCCCAGATCCAGAATATGAGCTCTTCTTTTGACATGGGTTTCCTGTGTATTTTAGTAGATGCAATAGACTTTTTTCGAATTCGTGAAATACCACTGTGTTCCTTGACTACATATTCATTTACGCAGGGTTAGCCTCATCTTAATGTCAAAATATTCACAAATACCGGTAAAGAAGAAAATGCGCAACTTCAACAATACAAACACTTTGAATTCCATGGACCTTCACTGGAACACATGAATATTCTGCACAAAATCGAGGCTGACCCTGTGCCAATGACTGTAGTCAAGCAAGAAATCCTTGTATTTTACAAATCAGAAAAAGGTCTTTTGTTAGGAAATTATTAATTATTATATTCTTACACATGTTTTCTTTAACTAAAAATTTTCAACTTCAACTATATATTGACTTGTATAAATATGTTTACCAAATTGTTAAGATTTCCAGTCATCTTTACTCCCGGGGGTTACTCCCTCATATTCGCTATACAAGTATGTGCTGCCAAACAGGGTATGGATTTAGCGAGTCTACTCTGGAACAAGGTATATAAATAGCACTCGCTCTCTGGAACAGGGTATCTATTTTCCGAAGTACCAGAAAAGGGTTTTTATGTACGATGTTACTCTGGAACAGGGTATGAATTTCCGCAATTTTACTCTAGAACAGGGTCAGGGTTGAGAGGGCTCAATGGCACATCCGTACCCTAAATGGGCAAGAGAACCACCCCCCTCCGTCCCGGGTCTTTACTCCCATTAATGCTATTATTTTACTTTTATCTTTCAGTTTGCAGAAGAAAGGGTTATCCAGTTTAGACCCCGCTATTCTATCCCAGATGGTGAACCTACAAGAACTAGACCTGTCTGATAACAACCTAAATAAACTTGACACCAACGGAGTTTGTCTAAACTCTTTGGCTAGAATTAATTTGGCCAATAATAAATTGACGACATTGGAGGGATTCAATTGTTTTCCAAACTTGAAAGAATTGAATATTTCCAACAATCCTTTGATTGAGGTTAGCTATAGACCTTATTTGTCTTGGTGGATTATATTTTACCATTATAGTATTACTGACCACGTCATGCCCTAGAGTATAATTTCTTTGTTTAATGGCTGTACATAAGAAGACACATGAATATGGATACAACTCAAAKGAAGAATCTTATTCTCAAGAGAATGACGTGATCTGAAATGGGAAACCATTGCATTACAATGAGTTTTGAAATCTTGTGGTAACTCATACTTCCTAAAGCCTCCCCCTGTCCTCCCATTGCCCAAGGCTTGGCCTATGGTTACATTCTATTCATCATTCTTTCAGGTATCAGAAAAATACAAGCTAGTGTCCATATGTCCTTTACTTCAGTTGCTTGACAATAAAGTAGGTACCTATATCTTATTGCAACAAGTTTAAATTGTTTTACAGTAATTCTTTTGGGGGGGGAGGGATGACTAGAATATTTTATTTAGGAGGCTTGTTTTTCCCCCAGGATGTATCAATGATGCGGGATGCAGCTTCAAGGCTGGATAGCACTTTATTGTGCAAGGCAAGTATGCATTATGTTACCCCCATTTGATCTAATAATGGGCCCTTCTCAAAAGTATCTTGGATGCAAGGCCAACATGAAATACAAAATAAATCACACTTTTTCTCCATGGAATTAGTGGCATTTCTTTTGTATTTCCACGTTAGTCTCGTATTCAAGATACTTTGCTTTTGAGCCTGAAGCTTCATTGAACACTCTTTCTATACTTTTTTAAATAGTCATGTTTAATGTTTGAGCTATTATTTGTATCCAAATTCGTAGAGTGTAAATAGAAGTATTTTTGACCAGTACTGGTCTTTCATTAAAAGATAATAATGATATATTTTTATTGTTTATATTCTCCAGATATCAGAAGTTTGGAGGCAAAGCTTTGAACGTGTTTTTGATCATCAAAAAGATGGTGACATTAAAAAATTTGAAAACGAATTTGTTGAAAAATTAAAGGTATAGTGTTATTCATTCGTTTGTTTGTTTGTTCATTCGTTTGTTCGTTCCTTCAGGCATTCATTTATGTCTTTTTATCTTTGTTTATTCAGAAAGAGATAACTTGTGGACCTTCAATGCTCAAAGAGTATAGAGAATTCAGGGTAAGAAAATGTAATGTTACTTTTTTTTCCTTTTTATAATACACTCAACAAAATTAATTGATTGTGATTGGTAAAGAGGAGTACAATTAAATCCCAAATTGTACTCTGTCCCAATCATTTGAAAATAATTCCCTTGTTTTTGTTCTTAGTTATCAATACTTGGAAAAGAACATATTAATAAAATGCAGCTGAAATTTGAATATGGAACTCCCAGGAAAAAGAAAAAAGTCGAAGGTTAGTTGCTTCCTCAGAATTCTTCCAACAACCTTCGCAATGTCTTTGACATTCTGTTTTGTGCACAACAAAACATGGCAACATTGAGGCCCTTGCATTACATGTTGCAATTTTATGCTTGCATCCATTTTTTTGTTTTTTCTTTTTCGATCTGATAGTAAATGGTGAGATTGAGGAGAAGGAAAAAGAAAAAATTCCAACACCTGATACGAATAGAGGATGTATTGACTTAAAAAAGGTGAGTTCAGGGTACAGCTTTTTGAAAAATAAAGTGCTATGGATTTTTATCACTTTGCATCATTGCCAGTATCATACAGGATTTATTGCAACTGTATACACCAAATTGAAATATGACGACCAATTTGAATAACTATTGTTCTGCACTGACAAGCAACTGACAAGCCTCGTGTTCATGGGGAAACATAAAATTATTTTCACATGTATAGGAGGCTAGTCAGTTGATAGTCAGTGCAGAACAATAGTTATTCAAATTGGTCGCCATACATCAATTCGGTGTATGGCAAGTTTCATATCAAATGCAGGGCTCGAAATAGGAAAAAATTGGCCTGCCAAAGTTTTTTTTAAACAAATTTTGACCTGCCATGTATTTTTTTGGTACACCACATGAAATAAATGAGACTTCCGACAAATTGATATTATGTACCTGGATGATTGTTTTTTTTAGGGGGGGGGGGGGTAAACAGAAACACGAAGGAAAGCACACTAATTATTTGCCTGATCTATTGCTCTTTATGTTTCAGCCGACAGAAACATTAAGTGTAGCTGATTCACGATTTGTTGTGTCACACTTATTACAAACACACTCACTTAACAATAATCCAGATGACAGACGGACACAAGTCTGGGGGTGTGAATTTGAACCAAGTCTGGACAAACCAGGTATATAACTGCTTTATATTTGCCATTACAATTCAAATTCATTGAGTCTGTTTCATTGATTTTAGCTCTGTTTTAGTCATCTTCGACTCCCCAAAAAAAATTATTATAAACCCATAGGTCACACTACTTTTATCTGCACTACGTGTTTCAGAGGATGTTATATTTTAGTATCTTAGGAGCACCATTCATTATAAACCCATAGGTCACACTACATCTATCTGCACTACGTGTGGCAGAGACTGTTATTTTTTAGTATCTTAGGAGCGCCATTCATTATAAACCCATAGGTCACACTACATCTATCTGCACTACGTGTGGCAGAGGATGTTATATTTTAGTATCTTAGGAGCACCATTCATTATAAACCCATAGGTCACACTACATCGATCTGTGCTACGTGTGGCGGAGACTCAGTCTGTTTCATAGACTGTAGCTCCGGTCAAGTCATGAAAAAATACAAGCAGCCAGGAGAGATCTTTTACTGTATAGCATGGACAACTATCACCATGGATTTTAATGGCAACACCAAGAAAACTAATCTACTAGCCGCAGGTGGACAACAGAAGGATATCAAGATTATTGAACCAAACCAGTTGGTCTGCTGTGAGGAGATCAAAGGCATGAAGGGTGTTTTGGAGTCTCTGTTGTTTCATCCTGTTCAAGCGTCATGGTTGTTTTGTGCCGCTAGTGATACTGTTACTGTCTGGGATATTGGCTTTCACCAACGTAGTGACTGTGAATCCAAGTCAAAGTAAGTGCGTGGTACTCACTGGAATGTAGTCAAGCTTATCATTCATTGGCTAATTTTGCTCTGTTGTGATATAGAAATAAAGATAAGAGTAGAGCCCATTTTGTATCACTCTGACTGTTTTGTTTGTTCTTCTTTTCTACAGATTACTTCTTACTTTAAAGTCTAGGACAATCATTCGATATATTTCTATGCCACCCCATGGCAATACTCTGGTAGGAGCCTGTGACGATGGATGCTACATGTGGAAAATTGACGAAATAGAAAAAAATAATGAAAAACCAAGGTAAATATGAGGAGCGTATTTATCTGGAAGGATGTTGCAAAAAATCATCAGAGATGATTTTTTTGTCAATTTTCCCCCCACAGAACACCATTAGGGTGTTTATTTGGAAGGATGTTGCCAGAAGGCTTAGCAACATCAGAGATGATTTTTTTGTCAATTTTCCCCCCACAGAACACCATTTGGAAAGCTAAGTTTTTCAGGCAAGAAGACCCTGCCACTGGACTGTGTACAGTGCTTATCAAATAATCAGATTGGTAAGAAGATCTTTTGATTTATAGAATGTAATCTTGGTTGAATTTAAATCCAACTAACATGATTTATCATAACTAAAATGACCACCATGGGTGACAGTGGGAGTGTACTCTTCTCTTACCTCTGGGGTCTCAGGATTTGAGTCCTGGACTCAGCATCACATATGAGTAGAGTTTTTAAAAAATTTAAAAAATTCAATTTGATCTGTGAGTTAGCCATGCCCTGACTTAGATCAGCCCAGAGGTTTTTTCAGGATCCCAAAGGATCCCATGTTGTATTACAGATAATTAACCTGGATAGTGAGCGTTTTCTTATGTAAATTTGATGAAATTCTTTTTAAGCAACGAAGCGTGTTGAAGATGGTCTAATGTGTGTCTGGAATTCAGAGTCTGGTATGACAAAGGTGAGGACACACACATTGACTTGTCAGTCTGAACGTAATGCTTTCCCATTACAAAAACGTGCCATTATTCCCTTGAGAATAACATTCTTCGTTCAAGTTGCGTCCTGCTTACTCCACATATACACTGTTTGGATTTTATCAATTTCACCGAAAAACGAAGAATGACTGATACTCGAGTGAATGACACAGTTTGAAATGGTTAGACATTACGTCAAAGGGAAAGAGGTCTATTTGGGTATGCTTGTGACAAAATTACACGATTCCTAATCAGTAAAAGTTAGTTAAACTTTATGTTTTACTTTTCAGAACGATTTTACTCTCGTTTACAAAATACCGTGGAGAAAAACAGAAACTCCTTTTCTAAAGTTCTCGTATGTTCCCAGTAAGTAGGACGCTTTTCCTTTCTTTCCTTTCCTTTCCTTTCCTTTCCTTTCCTTTCCTTTCCATTCCATTTTATTCCATTCTATTCAATTTCTTCATCTCTTCGATCATTCCCAGTTCATCAAGTTATTGTTTCTGGGGACGACGAAGGATGCGTTTGGATGTACAAAATGAAACTATCAGACTATGAGAAAGTCGAAAATAACACGGATGAAATAAAGACATACAAGGAATCCCAGGTCAGTCGTTGTTGTCAACTCTAGCTTCTCTCATTTCCTTGAGGATTTTCACTTCTATAGACTATTTTGGAGTTCCCAAATTACCGCTGTTTTTATGATTACGAACTCATTT